CTCATTCTGATATCCATTGTTGTATTAGTCAGCTTTCCATAGCTGTGACAAAATACCCGACACAAACAGCCTAAAAGGAAGGAAGATTTGTTGTAGGCTCATGGTTTCAGTCTGTAGTCAGCTGGTTCCATTGCTTTGAGGCCTGTGGAGGCGGAGCATCGTGGCAGGGAGGGTGAGGTGATGTAAAAGTGTTCAGGAAGATGGCCAGGAAGCAGAGAAAGACAGATGGGAAGGGACTGGGTCTCAATATCTCCTTAAAAGCACATCCACTGCTTCCTCAATCAGGCCCCATTCCCTAAAGTTTTCTCGGCCTCCCAGTAGCGCCACCAGCTAGGGACCAATTCTTAGCACATGATCCTTTGGAGGCGGTTCCAGATCCAAAAACCCTCCCAATGGCCTCAGAGTCATTTCAACTATGTGTTACAGGAGCGAGCGAGCGATCGACCTGGCCTCACCCTGGGGCTTAACAATCTCATGTCTCTGTTGTGACACCCGTTTTATATCTGAAGTGAAGCCTCAGGCAGGCTGCCTGCCAGGGTCTCATTGTCAGGACCTGACAAGGATGTGAAGTAAGCTCTTTCCACCACCTAGAGACACCCAGCCTCTTCCACCCCAGGATGAAGACACATCCCACCCCCAATTCCAACCGTGCCAGGGACTTGCTTGTCAATCATGTAAATCAAATATGTGTTCCATAATATTTAACACTGGTACAGATTTTAAATCCCTAGAAATGTCAGCAGGGTCTTGTGACAAGCCAAGTTAGCCTAGGTTAGAACATAGATACCACAAGGCTTTTAATGCCACTTTTGATATGATTTCTTTAAAAGTCCCCTAACTGTCAACCTAAACAAAGGGGTAAACAGAGAGATTCTCCAAAGAATGTGGATATTTATTTACACAGAGCAGAACACCTCAGTGGGAACATGTGGCCATGGCAACTGAGGCCAGGGGAGGTTTTAAAGCAAAAATGGGAAGGATTACTTTAGATATTCTAAAATCATCTTGGGCACAATGATTAATCATAAGAGTGTTGTCAATCTGAGACCAGACTGACCATTGCTGGACAGGTGTCTCTGCCAAAGGACTTTTGTAGAAGGCTGGTGGCCTCTCTAAGCTTCGGATCCTTGCAGGCTGTAGTGTAGACCCCACCAGGCGACAATGTGGAAGACCCTGCCTTCTTACCCTTCAGCTTCATCTGTTCATTTTTCAGGGTTGATATAAGCGAATTCATGTTGATTTTGAGAACATTCCTATTTCTTCTACATAACTATCTCTCAGTCCTGCAGATCAACACACAGCCACCGGGTCACAGCCAGGGGTGACATTAGCCAGGAAAGGCCAGGAGACCCAGCTAGTTGGTAACTGGGGTGACTAAAGGCAGCTGAACGTGGGGTTTTCCTGGCCTCTTGAAGTACCAGCAACAGCTTGAGGCCCCTACACAGCACCCCTGCCTGGGGGTGAGGAGCAGAACTGTCCCATGCCGCAGGAGGGAAGGGGGTCAGCAGGACTGTGAGGGGTGGGGAGGGACATAGTTTCAGAGAGTGGAGCGAGCAGGATACTGAATGCTTTGGGGTTGTCTAAATAAGAATAAGACACATTCTCTTCCCAGATTTTCAAAGGAGATGTACGGGTTGTACCGTGCCCTGGGGGACCCAAGGCCACATTCTCCCTCATTGCCTTTCCAGCACACCTTGTTTCATCTGTGAGGTCAGCAAATAGGTTTTAAGCCTTCCAGGGAACAGGGGAAGAGAGATGGGGAGAGAAGTTCCCTGTGCCTCTAAAGCACCATCCCTTCCCTTGGTCCTCCCTCCAGGAATAGAGGTGCCAAGGCGAGTGGATGGGATGGGTGCCACAGCCTGGGCTGCCCTTAGCCACCCTTGCCAGCCAGGGAGATGCACCGGGCTCCTTCTCTGTGTCTTCTCTCTGTATCCACCTCCTCAAAGATGGCAGAAGGCTCTCTCCCACCTTGATTCTAGTTAAGCCCACGCTGTTTCCCTAGCTCATTCAGGTGTCTCTTCCCCTGTGGTTTCCTGATAGGGCATGCCCCAGTCACACTGAGTGACATCTGTCTCCCTTGAGGACAGGGGCAGCACTCGGGTCTGCTCAGTCTTTAATCCTCACCCCAACGTGAAGTCCACCAGCAGAGGACTCACTCAGCCAGCTCAGGCCATCGAGCTCTGTGTGGAAAAGCCTCTCTCAGTGCTATCTTCTACCAGTCACCTCCATGCTGGGGACAGTGCACAGCCACCCAATGTGCTACACACTGGAATTACTCCGTGGTTTGGGCTCAGGTCATTTTATGGTTTGGATGTGAGGTGTCCCCCAAAAGCTCACATGTGAGACAAGGCAAGAAGGTTCAGAGGAGAAATGACTGGGTTGTGAGAGTCTTCACCCCATCAGTGATTAAGCCCCTGGGAGGGATTAACTGAGTGTAACTGAGGAGGTGGGTGTGGCTGGAGGAGGTGGGCATTGGGCGTGGCTTTGAGTATACATTTGTATCTGTGGAGCGAGTGCAGTCTCTCTCTCCGCTTCCTGACCAACCTGTGAGCTGCTTTCCTCCACCATACTTGTCTGCCGTGATATTCAGCCTCAGCTCGAGCCCCTAGGAATGGAGCCAGATTTCTATGGACTGAGACCTCTGAAACCGTAAACTCTCAAATAAATCTTTCCCCCTCTACATTTGTTCTGATTGGGTCCTTTAGTCACAGCAACAAAATAGCTGACTCAAACAGGTCACCTTGCTTGGGACATCCCTTAGGGTGTGTTTAAGCCCAAGGCTGAATATTAGGACAGGTGTCTGCAAGCATCCAATCATCCAGAAATGCTCTCAGCCACAAAATCATGTTTCCATTGTCTAATGAAAAGTATAGTATTTCTCCAAGTGTGGATCCAAAGAATCAACTGCATCAGAGTTACTTGAGAGCGTTTTGTAAAAGCCAACTAGATCTTGAGCTGTGTCCCAAATACCTATGTCAGAACCTCAGGGTGTGTGACCCTGAGAATTTGTGTTTTACACAGCAAATTGCAATCAATACTACCAGGTGGGAAGAGGAGCAGGACAGATCGAAGACCATGCCCGTCTCGGGCATGGTCGGCCTCCTCACAGCCATGGTCAGCCTGCCCCGTCCCTTTTCTGTGGGTCTGTCAGGGAGCCAGGGTGCTCACAGTCATGGGCAGCCCTGCATCAGAGTTCAGGAGGATCTGTGATGTTATGAAGAAAGCAGTCCCTCCTCTCCAAGATGTCACTATCACCTGCATGTATTCTAAAATGCTAAAAATACCAAATACTTTTAAAAAAACATTGGGCTAGTATCCATCACCATCGGCAGCAGCATCAACAGAAGAGGCTGACCCTGCCAAGCTCTGCCTGTTGTGGTCTCACCTGGCCCTCAGCGACTGGACACTGCCTCACTGCCTGTTTACACTGGAGTCTGGCCTCCTGCCTGAACCCTCAGCCTTTCTGCTAGGATTAGCTCATCAGATCTACTTTAAGTATCTCATTAGCCTGGGTGGACACCGTCCTGCGGGAGCATTGATCTATGCACCATCTTTAATTGCCTCATCAGTGGGCATGTAATAAAACCAGCACAGCCACATGCTCTCTTGGGAAATAAATTTTTTGCTAAGTTAAAAACAAAACAGAAAACAATGTGCTTGGTTCTTATCCATCTGAGAGGTACAGCCAGAGCTTCGTGCCACTTCTGGCCTGCTAGAAATTTCTGACGCTGGTTCTTCGGCACATCCTTCAATACTAAAAGCTACCTTGGGGCAGAATAATTCCCCCACCCAAGATTCCCACACCCCGATCTCCAGAATCTGTGAGTACTGTTATGCCATGTGGCAAAGGGACTTGGCAGCCATGAGTAGCTCCACTTCCTGAGGGGGGGAGGGCGGCTGGGTTGGCCAGACAGACCCCTGTGCATGACCAGAGTCCCTGTCAGTGAGGAAGGAAGCCAGGAGGGTCCAAGTGTGAGGTGGTGAGGAAGACCTGACCAGCCATTGCATCTTTGAAGGCAGAGGAAGGGACGGTGGGAATGAAGGGACCTTGAACCTCTGGAAAGGCAGGACGTGGGTTCTCCCTGGAGTCCAGAGCAACACCTGCTGATGGCTTGATTTTAGCCCACGGAGGCCCATTTGGGACCGACCTCCAGAACCATGAGAGAACACACATTGTTTTGAGTGAGCATTAAGTGAGTGGTCAGTAGCAGTAAGAAGCTCACATGCCCAACCTCCTTCCTGCAAGCTCCTTAGTGTTTTAGTATACTTTATGCTAAAGTAAACCAAAAGCAATTAATACTACTGACAACCTAAGAGGCAAAACTAGTAGACAGCTAGTTTCCAGGCCTCCCTCCTGGCCCTTCATTGTGTTTCTAGGACCAGGTGATATTTGACCAGCTGCCCTTGAGGAGCTCAGAGCCCTGCTTAGGGACAGAACCCAGCCCCTGTGGCCAGGCCTCCTCACAGCCAATGTGACTGGTTGCTCTCTGGCTGCCACCTGACCCAGACACTCTTGTCTCAGTGCCTTTCCCCCACATCAGCTGACTCTGCTACCTGTCTGAAACCCACCCACCCATTTCCACACATCACACTCTACCCTGGACACCCTCAGCCACTTCCGTGCACTTCTGCCTCGGTTGATCCCACAGGGCTACCACGTGGCAGGAACCACTCTTTCCAGAGCAAGGCATGCACCCTGCGATGACTTCTGCAGCAAGTGTCCAGCTGGGCCTGGCCAGATGGCACCGTGTGACCCAGCCCTTGGCCTCTGACGGTTTAGGGTAGCAGAACCCAGAACTTGATTTCCTCTCCAAAGAGAGTCCGTCATTAGGCAATCCTTCTTTCCTTAAGCCTCAAACACAAACCCCTCCTTGTGGGTGAGAAATGAAACTCACAGACACAGAGTTAGTGAGCAAGCAGCTGTTGTGTTCCCCTCTGATGGGTAGAGTCAGAGAAGAGGCCGGGGAGGTGCCTGAGGGGACAGTTTCTTCACACTGCCCCTACTGGCTCATTTCAGTTTTGCTAGGATTCTCGAATGAAAACTCGGTGTGTTTCCTTCGCCCGGTTTTATCCGTCACTGTAACAGGCTCACCGGAATTGCAGGACGTGCAGATGAACCAGCCAGGGTGGGCAGCGGACTCCAGGGTGTACCGCGAGCCCACCTTAGACTTGTAGAAGACGTAAGCCCGGCGCGAAGTCTCCTTCTGGGCGGCCAGACTCATCAGCTTCTTCTTCTGTGAGATAAGAGGTGACAAACAGCAGAGGCTTCCAGAGGGAGAAAACCCAACACAGGATCCTTTGCTCCAGGCCTTTGCCCCAGGCCTTTGCCCGAGAGGAGGAGCGGATCTAGGGCAGATGCCCTTGGGAAGGCTGGTGTCGGGCTTGGAGCCATGTTTGCAGGATGACAAGTATCCAAGCCTTGTCTTCCACACCCCAACCCCAGAATTAAAGATCAACTGAGACAGGTGTGGTGTGATCCCAGCCGCCCAGGAGGCTGAGACAGGAGGATCTCAAGTACGCAGACAGCCTCAGCAACTTAGGCCGTGTCTCAAATTAAATTAAAAAAAAAAAAAAAGTCTGGGGACATGGCTCAGTCAGTGGTTAAGCACCCCTGGGTTTGATTCCCAGTACCAAAAATTTAAAAAAATAAACAGATAGAGAAAAAAGCAGGTATCAGAAGGCCATGGGAAAATTGGCTCTATGCATGATCTTAAAAGATGGATTAAAAACCATGCCTTAGATCTGCAGTCAAAATCGGGCCACTTTTGGGTTACCAAAGATACGGGAAGACAGGCTGGAATGCTCACCTTCAGCTGAAGGGATGGCTGACATTTTCCTTTGTCCTTGTCACAGCAGAGACAGAACTCCCCTTTAGAGACGGCCAACAAAATGGGAGACCCTTTCTCCTCGGAGGACTTTGCCAGATGTGAGGCCAACACAAAGAATGTCTCTGTGTGAAGACAGAGGAGGGCAGATCTCAGAGCAGGGAGATCCCAGCGGCTTTACTCACAGCCCCG